CCTCAACCATTCTGTGAATCTGTGTGTTTAGCAAATTTTACTTCATCTTATAACAGAAATTTTTGCAGTGTTAGGTTTTTCTATTATTATTATATAGTAAGTTGCATAAGTGCCAATGCATTGCAACTTCTTAATAGGATAATATAATGTGCTTCTCTGCCTGCTTACATGTGAGAGCTTCAGAATATTTTTAATAAACATAGCATAAGATAAGAGCATAAGATAATCTTGAAAGAGAAAGAAAAGGTACAAAAAAGAAAAGACTTCTCGCCTCTGCGCTCCCCTAACGTGTGCGCACTCACTGAAGTTTAGGGATTCCTGTCTATGAATCAGGTTCCAAAAAAACCATAATTTCTCGGTTTCCAAATAAAATCAAACCCACAGTAGTTCCAATTTAGAACTTTTATTCCAGGCAGAAACCTGTATTTCCAGAAAAGTATTATCTTTGTGGAAATTAACCCTGGAAAATGAGACATCACATAACCTAAAACATTATCCTCTGTCTGTTACCCTAGATATCGCATATAATCTTACAAGGGCCAAAGTAGTCCCCCATTGTTGTCTTCCACATTTCTGGGCAGTGGAGGAAGCTTCAGGAAGAGATGTTCTTGTTGCTTGCCTTGAATGTGCAACAGTGATGCAAAGGCTGTCAGAACTGCTAGAGGTGAAAGAACGTGTGCATAGGTGCTTTCCTTTTGCTTCTACATGTTATTGATGTGTTCTTATAATACCGTTTTCTAGGATGGAGATGCTTTAAATAAAGTTAGTGTTTGTTTGAGAGTCATTGCAGAAAGAGAGATCAGAAGGTATGAAATGCACTTCCTCATGCAGTTAAAATCCAAAACCTAAATCAGAAGTGCTTACTTTCTTTGCCAAGTGTAAATTTGCCAAGAATCGTGTAAGACTTGCGTCTTTTTTTTAAATATATTTTTATAACCTGTTTATATAATTCACAATATTGTCCATTATCCTTTTTCCAGATAAAAATGAAAAAATCCCATAGCCAAAAAAGGCTAAAATTCCATGGAAACCTCTCTCAGAATGATACCAGGTTACTTGGACACCGTTGTCCTCTAGTCGCTTCTTGTATAACAGTCCGTCATCCCTGAGCACGTCAAATTCGCAGGTCACAATGTAAGATTCAGGCAGCTGGCAGATAACAGAGTCTTCAGCCAGAAGCGGGGAAAATGTTATTGCTAGCAGTTCTTTGATGGCTTCATGAACTTCGGGTTTATATGAAGTGGATGTCTGTGGTTTGTAGCCTCTGATCTTAAATTCATCAGGAATATTATCTGCGCTTACCCATTTCTTAAACTTCAGTTTCATACTCTCAGGAACATGGCAGTTCTGTAGGATATCTTCCAAAAATGATGGCTTTTTGTTAAGATAGCGAAAACAAAAGTAGATGACTAGATTCCGAGACAAAATGGGCACTGAAGCATTCTGCTGATACGAAGGCAAATGAAAATCTAGCCCCTGGAGTCCTGGATAAAGTAAGACCTGAGCACGAACTTTTGGAAGATCTCTTTTATTCACTAGTATTTGGCAAATAACTGTAGCAAAATTAGCTCCACAGCTGTCACCACTAATGATGATGAGGGTAGGATCCACATGATACTCTTCGAAATTCCTCATAAAGTATAAGGTAGCATTGAGACAATCAAAATACTGCCCTGGATATGCGTGTTCAGGAGCCAAACGATAACTGAAATGTCAAGGACATTGTACTTATTTTCAGAGTAACTGTAAAAATGTAACTTGCACTGTTTATGTTCAGTTGGTATGGTAGTTACATAGGCCGATTTTTCTAAATCTTAAAGTGAATATTTTAATTAATCTGGTTTTTTAACCCCATGTAGATCGGAAGGACAAACTAATAGTACAGAGGTATTTTAGAATACTTTGCCTATAAGCACACTTCTAAATTAAACAAAAAACTAAAGCCAGAAATAGAGAATATGATCTAAAATAGTAAAGACGTTCAGCATATATGTCAGAAATGTTTCAACTGTGAACTGTAATACTACATACATTTCTGCATAAAAGTAGCACTTACCCAACAGACACAACCACTGAGTTGCATTCTCTGGCAATGTAGCGGCATATTCTTTCAAAAGCTCCTGAAGATAAAGTTTATCAGAAATGATGTTTTAAAAAGCAAATATCCTTAGAAATGAAAATTTATATTTCTTATTAAGGAGTTGTTGACCGTATGCTCTATGGAAGCCACTGCAGTCTGAGACTGATGAGTTTCTTCTCCTATGCAATGCAGTCTTTACACGTTAATATATTTTCTGTATATTGGTCAATGGCTGATTTCAGCGCATAATATGAGCCCATAAAAATGATAATACTAGGAAAAAACAAAAGTCTACCTAGGCTGGTATCTCTGCTACCTGTCAACAGAAGGTGTCCAAGGAGAAGTGTAAACTGAGGACGAGCATATAGCGGTACTTCGTATAGAAGGTTACAGAAAGTTGCGGCCCAGGGGGCTCCTTGAGACAGAAACAGTGTCTTTTTATTTAATGATCAATTGGTCAATAACTTGCTTACAAAGGAGTAGAGAACCACTGATGGCGTTAGTTCTTGTACTGTAAAAGGTAGTGAATAATCATTCCCTCTTCTCTGGCCTCTCATGATTTTGTTGACCTCTATCGTATCTCCCTTTACTCATCTTCTTGAGCCTGAAGAGTCTTAGTCTAATCACTTGCTCTCAATATGGAAGCACTTTTATCATCCACGCAGCCCCTCTCCGAGTCTTTTCAAGTACTGCTGTGCCCTTTTTAACATAAGGGAATTAGAACTGCAAGCAGTATACAACATTTAGGTGCCCGTAGATATATTACAGTGGCATAAAGGAAGTTTCCTATTTTGTCCTGTCTTCCTTTCTTAATAATAGTTCCTAACACTTCATATGCTTTTTCGACTGTTACTCTTCACTGAGTCAACGTTTTTTGTGAAACTTTCTGCCATAACCCCAAGACCTGCTTCTTCCACAGTTGTAGTCAGTTCAGAGTCCATAGTTTTGTTTGAAAAGTTAGGATGTTTTGTCCAACAGTTTCACTTTTTTACACTCCATTTCACCTATCGTTTTAGTGTCTAATCCTTTGATATCGTAAAGGCCTCCTGCAGTTTTTCCAATCGGCCTTTTACTACCCTGAAGGGCTTACTGTCATCTCACCTTTCACCTTCTTTTCTTTTGATAAATATATTGAATAGCACTAGTCCCAATCTCTTAATCAGTTTTTATCCAAATGAAAGACCTGCCCTCTTGTGTCATGGGTGTGTAGCCTCTTCAAGAGGCTCTTTTGGAAATCACAGTAGGCTATGTCAGCTTGGTCTCCTTTATTCATATTTGTTGGCTCCTTTAAAAAACTTAAATTGATTTGTGAAGCATTACTTTCCTTTATATATGTTATATGGATTTTAAGCAGTAAACTGTATTTAGCTACATGTTCACCAGTGCTGTTTTTTATTGTAGCTTCTGCTAATTTGTCTGCTTTGCCTGCCTTCGGGTTTACCAGTCTGTAGTTTTCACAAATCCTTTTTTAAAAACTTGTCATTATGTTAGCTGCTACCTTGTTATCAGGCACCAAGGAGAATTCAAGCAAAAGGTAACATACTACAGTATGTGGTCAGGCTCCCTGAATGTGCTGATTGTACAACAATTACGATATGAACAACAACTATGCAACTTTGTTTTTCTTTTTTTTTCTCCCCCTCATGGTAAAAGGAATTGCCCTTTCATTCCGATCGTAAAGGCTTATAACTTGAATTGAGTCCTCATTGCCACCCGTTAACCCCGCATCTACGTGTAGGCATGGTTTCTTACACATCTGAAGTTCCGGGTAAATTTACATTGCAGTATGCAGATCCAGAGAGAGGGAAGCTGGCTCTAACCAAACTAGCTCTAGAACCACAAACATCACAGCTGGTGTCAGCCTGGCTCTCCACTCAGACTAACATGCTCTGCAGTAAAACAGGTAAACTATTTTTGTCATGGTGCAGAGTAAGATCTAAGTTATGAGAAGTTACAGAACGGGACCAGAGCTAACTGTCTCTGCACGGTGCTGAACTGAGCCAGGTAGTCTCACCACCTCATTTACACATAACTGAAGTCTCTTTAACATAGTGCCAGTGGACACTTATCCTTTGAAGCAGTAAAGGATTCAAAACCCACAAACTTTGCTGTTTATTGATTTCCACGGCAGGTGCCTTGACTTCCAAAGGGGAGGGGGAAAAAAAAAGTATACAGAGACTTGGTTGCTAAGGATATTCAAAGCATTTAGGAGCCTGGGCAGGCAGCAACTGAGACAAAGGGTTGCCCCTCTTCTTGGGAGGGGAGAGGGGGAGGAAGGAATACAGCATTTTGTGCGTTGGTGCCACAAGAGTCAAACACCCCCAAATTGATTCCACTTTTAATGTGCATTTATTGTGTTTTCCTTCATTTTGATTGCCTGCTTGCAGGCATGGGATTATATGGGTGGTTTTTTTTTCATATTCTTTAAACTGTTTCATGGACCTTGTTTTAAAGTTACATCTCCAGAAAAGATGTAGGAGCACAGAGGAAGGACAGAAGAGACATAAGGCTTCAATCCTTACTGCAGGACTGTTGCCATATCTCATTTTCAGAAAGCTGTTAGTTAAAATACAAGAACGTTCTGTGAGCAGAACTTCCCTCTCGGATCTGAATAACCTAAACATTAGTCTCATGAGTTAGGTTTTTTGGTTTGTTTGTTTGTTTGGGGGGTTTTCGTTCGTCTTTTTAACGAGCGCTCTCTCTGCCCAGCAAACTGACTTCTTCTGTGAACAGTTTCAACAGGAGGAGGAGTAGAGTCCCTCCACTGTTAGCTGACAGCTGATTTAACCAAACTGAGCCCAAAGAAAGGAGAAATCACGGTAGATGAGGTTGGAGGCTACCTCTGAAGATCATCTAGTCCAAGCTCTGGGTCAGGCAGGGTCAGCTAGAGCAGCTTGCCCAGGACTGTGTCCAGTCTGGTTTTGAATATCTCCAAGGTTGGATATTCACAAGCTCTCAGGGCAACCTGTTCCAGTGTTTACCCTTATAGTAAAGAAGTTTTTCCTTATATTCGTTATATGAATATGCTTAACTGGGCAAGAGCCTATTAACTCGGTAAGGTGCTTTGCAGTTGCTATTAATATTGCAGTGACTATTGTCACTAGGAAGGACAGATGAGAAATTGGCTGACATATTTCTGGTAAAAATTTAAAGGTTTGGATTTGGTTTTAAAATGATTAAACTTTCTGATATCTTACTAATGCTCCCAAATGTGCCAGCGCCTCCATGGAAATACAGTATTCCTCTTCTTTTTGCAGTAGGTGGCCGTTTCGGCTGATAAATCCTCAAAGGTACCTCATCTACTTTGAGATCTTTGATAAGGAGTTTTGAATCTCTCCATGGTGGTATTCCGTCTAACACAAATCGCAGTAAGCTCAAGTCACTGCAGATTCCTAGTTTCTGCAAAATCGTTCCCTGTTAAAAAGAAGGAAGTCAAGAAATGAATAGTTTAAAAGATTCCAACTCTCTATAGCTTACCAAAAAACCCTGGGTTTGTTTTACTGCTTTGTATTTTGGAAGAGAGTGGAGACAGTAATTCAGTGAGTTATGGTGACTATTGAGAAATCATTAAACTGTTTTTATTTGAAAGTCACTGAAGACTGTTTAATCTGCAGCCTTTTGGCAATCCCATTCTGCATAGGCAGCTGTCCTCTTGCTCAGTATTCATTTTTTGAGTGTTTCTTTTGGTGAATATAAAAAATAATCACTAATGTATTTGAGCTGAAAATATGGGGGGAAATAGAAAAATAATCTTTGATTTAGAAATAAATAGGAGGTAGCTATGGGTGTAAGGATGAAGAAACAGATTAAAACACTAATTTTAAAGTAGGCTCTCTCTTTTTTTTTTTTTTTTTTGCAAAAGATTCGGGGAGTGGTAGGCTCTTGCCTGCAGCATGATCAGTAATACAAACAGCAACCGTATCGCACTAGTTGCTTCTATTTCTTACAAATATGAGGAAAATAGGACAACATTTCAGAAGAGGTTTTCTAGTATTTCCTGTATTAAATATATAATATGTTTTGCATTAAAAAGTACAAAGAAAATGTAGTTGACATCGGAAGAATTTCTTGAGTTTTGATGGGGAAGAAAAGACTTACTGTATCCAAGCTGTCTCATAGTATCTTAACTTTAAAATCAAATATTTAAAAGTCCAATATCAAAATACTGTGCTGTTGCTAAGGGAAGGTGTCTACACTTTGACAGGATTCAGTGGCCACGTTTAGCCTGAGCAAAGTCAGATTTTAAGACTAACATACATAGATCTAGAAGATGGTTTAACTCGCTCACGAAGAGCTTGTTTTATATTAAATATTTTCCCCTCTGAAAATCTATATTGAGTTTCTATGACACTGACAACGTCACATAACTTTGGAGGTAGAAGGAACAAATTCCAATGTGATGGTTTTTTACTTCTGTAACATTTACATTCAGGAAATGACATGTCAACCTCAAAACTGGTTGTGAAAAGGAGTAGGTTCCAGTTATTATCTTGGTCTGCAAAACCGTAGAAAAAGAAAAAAAACACTGTAGAAGAGAAAAAAAAAAACAGAACTGTGGAAAATATCGAATTTTGACTATTTTCCAGAATGATTCATTTCAATTTTCCACTTGAAAGATCTGTAAACTTTGCCTCCATATAACGTAGTCAATGGGAATGGGTATATTGGAATTAGGTTAGATTCACAGTCGTGTGAGTAAATACACACGTGCACATGCATTTTGAAATAATGAGACACACCTAATGATGTTATTGATAAATACTCCTGTATCATACTTACTGAAGAAGCTACACATGGAGAAAGTCCAAAGAATTCCTATCCATTTCTATTTCTTCATTTTATTGTGCTTAATGCATTTTGCCTATAAATCTATGAATATCTACATACGAGTATGGATAATAAATATAGCACAAAGCAAATGTAAACAGGAATTATGCAGGCTTTCGTCTGAATAGATAGGCTTTTTATATGTATGTCCAATTCAGTAGGTACTGTATAATATTTTAAAAAATTTTTCATGTGAAACTGTTTTTCCAGATGTAAAGTGGCTGCAGATTGACAGTTGAACTGAAAAATCTGAATAAGCTTTTAAGATCGGTCATATCCTTAGTCTTATGAATTAATTTAACATGATTTGATTCATGTAACAATGCTTACAGGCTTCAGACGAGTGAATATTTCTTCTTTTCCTTTTTTCTTAGGCCATTACCCCCCAGCTCCCAAATATCCTACCAAAATAAAAATGAAATCCCCAATTTTAACAAAGATGACTTACCGCAACCATGGTTGTTATCAGCAATGAATGGAAGAAACGAAGCTTTAGGGGCTGATCAATCCCAGGTGGCAGTTCTGATTTGAGAAAGTCATAACATAACCCCCCCAAAAACAGTACTGGTAATATAACAGGAGAAAAGAAAACTATTGCTATTACTGCTAAAGGTGTATAAACAAGTGCCATTTCACTTCGATGGAAGTGGTGAACTCTTTTTTTTTAAAAAAACAAAAACAAACACCCCCCCCCTCCAAAACAAAAAAACCCCTATGTTCTCTCAGGCCGTGTTTCTCCAGTGTCTCTGAGGTGTCTAAACACTCCGTTCATAAGCAGAGATAAAAAGATCATAATGTTGCAATACTCTAATTTTCTCCACCCTTTTCCTTTGCTAATGGTCCTGTTGGCAAGGCTTCCTTATACCAAAAAAAATAAAGCAAGGGGGAGCATTTACCATTTCCAAAAAGTGAGGATCAGTGTATATAGATGTGATTAATATAGTGAATTCTTCACTAACAATGAGAAATGAATGTTCAGAGGGGCCCTTTGAATCTCTCGATTGTCTATGTCTGATTTATTATTAATTTCTTATTGATGGGCATGGAGATAAAATTTAGAGCTACGGGGCTGCTTGCAACTATAATGAAGGTATACGTTTCTCGAGAATAAAACGATTCAAAGCCTCACTTTTTGATAAACTTTGTTTCACTGCGGAACGCCCAGATTCATGTTGTAACTTTGGCTTAAATAAGAGCACAGTTGCTTAGTGTATAACTTGGGATATGCTTCTGCCAAAAGCAGAATTTGATCGGTTATTTCATGTGATATATGTCTACATTGCATTAGATAAGAAAGAGATTTTCTGCATAGATACCGTGCTTTATACCGCACTGGGAGTACAGAGAGTCGCTGTAAAATCCGTACTAGGCAGTGCAGTCTTAACTTATATCGAAACCTCGCCAGATGCATGGTGGTGTCTTTCTAGATTCAAGCCACTATTGTTTCTGGTGAAAGCTGTTCACTGATTAAACCTTGAGAATTTTATATTCATCATAATCCTTTTTATGATTTACTTTGGAGGAGTTAGGAGAGCATATGTATTAGTGGGAGATGATTAACATTGGTGACAGCTGTTAATAATTATTTTCTTTTGTATGCTTCTTATCAGAATTTCATTTTCCACACAATTTTAAAGTTATGGTTCCTAAACTTTATTTCCTATACTGGCTTTCAGAATAAAACTCCAGCCCGAAAACTGAGTTAGTCCTTAGCTTCATTAGGTCGGTATTGAAAACAAAATAATCATGGCAGCTGACTTGCACAATTTCAGCTTGTGGAGATAAGAATATGTGGGATAAAGCAATGTAAATCTGCACCAATGCTTGTGAAACAGGCAAACCCACAGCTGTTCACAGTAGGGGCTTTTCCTTTGCTGAGGTTGTTTTAGAACTTTTACATGATACCGTAATAAATATAAATATTTCCACAGTGTGAAAGGTTTTGTATTTTTTTTTTTTTTTAATTTTGTTCTTATGAAAAATACTTCTGGGTTTGAAAATAATGTTTTGTTTTTCATATTTTCTCAGTTTCCTTTGTTTTCCTTTTATAGTATCAAAATGGTGAGGGAACAGAGAAGAAAGACAAAGGGAGGGAGCTTGCATTTTGTTTTTCTTTTTTTTTTTTTTTCCCCCTACAATCTCCCCGCTCCAACCATTCTTTACTCTTTACTACTAAGCCTTGTTTCCCTAGCATGGATCATGAATCTAGCGATACAGCTAGTCTTCTGAGTGTCAGGTTGTAGACTCTTGAAACCATATCCAGATATCCATGGTCAGTGGTCGTTCTGGCCTAAACTTAGCAACTTCTATAGCTAAGGCTTTTTCTGTAATGCAGCAGTGTGTTGTTATCCTATTGTTTTAGGTAATTAGTTCTCGTGAATAGCTTTGTATATAGTGTGACATTATAGTGCAGCCTGGTTTTTTTTATTGGCTATTTGTTTGGCCATGTAATGCCAGCAGAACAGTAGACCAGTGCAGTTCTTACTAAGTGCTTCTCTCTGGTGTCTGTGCCATCAAACAAAATATCCTGAAATAAATTAAAACATAGAGATTGGTCTTGAATATGGTTTTCAGGTGGTTTTGCCCATTTTTTATGCTTGAATCCTCAGAGAAGGAATATTCTGTAGTTTCAGAAGACGCTGTAATCAAAAAGAGTACTGAACTACTTAAAGCACTTATTACTTGGAGGACAGTAAACAAAACTTTTAAAAACAGCCAGTAATAATAAAATAACATAACAACATAATTAAATAAAATTATGTTTGGAGCATATTGCCCAGGATCACATCCAGACGGGTTTTGAATATCTTCAGCGAAGGAGACTCCACTACCTCTCTGGGCAACCTGTTCCAATGCTCTGTCACCCTCACAGTGAAGAAGTTTTTTCTCAGGTTCAGATGGAACTTTGCATGTTTCAGTTTATGCCCGTTGCCTCTTGTCCTGTCGCTGGGCACCACGGAGAAGAGG